TCATTTCTTTCATCCTCTACCACATTTTTCAGTCATTCGTCCTCTTCTTAAACTATGATGAATGGACAATCAATGTTTAAAGGAGCATTTGGTTGGGATGATTGGCTTTGGTGGATTGTTCTTGGTTCAGTGGCACTTCTCGTTCTTTTATTATTAGTCTGTTGTTGTGTTTGTATGCAACGTGCTAAGCGTAAAGGACGTGAAGAAGCATTGGCGTCCGTACAAAATCATCAGCGTCGTACACAAGCGCGGGAACTTGCTGAACACCAACGGTACCAACCGTCACAACAAACTAGTTATCAACCACCAGTCACCGGTTACTCGCAACCGGTTACAACCGTCCCTTTGGCCCCACCACCACGCAAAAATTTAGGACCACAAGTTGCGGCAAATGGGTATCGTGAGTCTCCATCACAGCGACCAAATGAGCAATTTTCCAAACCGTACCCCCCTCTTCCGGCACAACAAATGGATCAGACACATCGTAATCCACCGGACCATTTCTATAACTCCAATGTTAAATACGCGCCATCCACCAACTCAAGTTATCCGGACAATATACGTTATGACGATATATACGCTATGTCGGTCACATCTCCATCATCGAATAGATTGACTGTGAATAGATCTCATGGAATGAAAGCAAGTTCGAGTCAAGTATCAGAAGTTACTCTTGGAGCTAGAAATGATGCAGTCCCAATGAAACCACGACCTTCTGGAGCTACATTACAAGCACGAATCGATGCATTGAGATCAGCAGATAATCGAGATATGGTACACACTCGTATAAGTTTTAACGAGTCAGATCGACCGGACAGTATTGATCTGGTGGGTACATTACGATCTGTACCGACCCAAGAGTCGTACATGTCACGCTCTGCGCGACACTCAGGTCTTATGATGAATAGTACCATTTCTTCCAATTCAACAACAATGGTATCATCACGAATTGCATCACCTTCAAGTTCATCTCGAAGCTATGAAAGTACCGATCGAAACATGTTTAATAGTTCGAAATTTACAGAGCGTGAAGATATGTCAAGTCGATCGTACAGAAGCGACTTATCTCATAGTCAGTATGATGACGATGACAAGATGGCATTGAGTGAAAAAGCTGCAACTCCAATGACTTCATCTAGTCCGAAAGAAACTCTCGTTCGTGGTTCTGTGGAATTTTAAAAAAACAAAGAGTAACCCATCCATCGTACAATACATTTATCCTTTATGGGTTAGTATTTCTATGGCAAAGCTGTTTCTATTTACTATAATACTACAATCATAACTTACCACCATCGAGAACGTATATTACTTACTCCAGTTGTAGTATTGTCATCATTTATATGAACTAGTCGTTGTCCACCACTTGAACTTTTACTATTTGTATCTCGATTCGCAAATGCTACTGTTTGATACAAAAATGCTTCAAAGACACCACTTGGTACCATGGAAAGTGGATTTGCACTCTAAATATTCATAATTAGTCAAAAGAAACAAAGAATTTCAATATTAACCTTACCGATTCAATGGTCGCAACGGTATGAAATTCGGTAGGTCCAATTAATCCCATCGAAGATTGTGATCTCAAATCTTTTTTATTGCCAACCACAAGTTTTGGTATTTTTTGTAACGTTGGGATATCGTCACTATTCCCTGTTGGAGGTACTACACAACCTTTCAGTTTTTGCATCGTATGAATCTCTTTGCTCCAATTTCGAAGATGTTGACCACTTTTTGTATTACTCAAATCATGAACAAACATAATTCCATGAATATTATGATAAAATGTTCCACGACTGAGTTCGTATTTGCGATGACCTCCAATATCGAGAAATTCCACAAAAATCTCTTGACCTTCTGGCTCAAATATCTTCAGTAGCACATGAACGTCACATCCAGTTGTCCATAGACTCGATGGTTTGTCATAATCAATCGAATCACGCGAATACAAGCGACAAATTGATCGTAACAGCGTCGTCTTGCCAACTCCAGAGTCACCCACAACTAATACACGTACACTTGGTGTCTCCATGTAGAAGATTAAATGAACATACATTATTCGACAAAATATAATCTACCAATCAAAAATCCGGAATTAGACAACTGAACACATAACGAAATATCATGACTGAAGAATGGGGTTACGAAGAAGCTCCAGACGATGAGAAGCTCGAGATTGTGCAGCGGTTTCTTATGGCTAGTCCACCTGGTCAAATTAATGAAGTGCTGCGCGATGTAGTTAAGCTTGTGCCAGAGCATGTACTGCCCAATGAGGTGCTACGGGATGCATTACATACGTATAATGTCAAGAATTGCGTGCCTGTAGATGTTCCTGATGCGGACTATAAGGTAAAAATGCATATATTTTTCATACTTAATATTTATAAATGACATTGCATTATTGATTATTACAGATTTTGATCTGTAAGGAAGGAGAAGTGGATGTCGATCATTATGTAGACCATATTGGCCATCGTGTACTTGGTTTTGATCATATTAAACAACAGATTGTGCCTGACGATATTGCTGAATTGCCTGAGGAAAGAGTCAGTGATTTTGAGAATGAAAGGTAAGTCGAAAAGAGAGTTTTAAGAAAATCAAGTGTAAAGTATCATTTATTGAAAGCAGACAAGAAGTTCAAAAGGGTTTGCAATCGTATCTTCAGTTTGAATTCATGCATGGGTGAGAAAAAAGAATCAAAGTTTTCAATGGAATAGCTAACTCAATGCTAATGTAGAGGAACTGCTGGAGTGTATATTGTGGGTACAAAATTAGTCGTAAACCTCTGTGCGGAGCGAATTAATCTTCGTAATTATTGGGGCGGACGTTGGAAGTCACGATGGGAAGTGGATTTATCACGGACTCCACTTCTTGTCAATGGCAATATTGAACTTCATGTTCACTACTTTGAAAATGGCAATTTACAGCTTCAAAGTTCCAAAAGTATTGAACAAGAGATTACGAGCGAACGTCCTGGTGGGATTGGCGATGCCATTGTGCGCGTTATGAAAGACGCAGAAGATAAATTACAATTGAATCTTGAAGATATGTACATTAACATGTCGGAAGAAACGTTTAAGGAAATGCGTCGTGTCATGCCTGGTACGTTCTACCCAAATAATTTATTGGTTTGGAATTATTGCATCGTATTGAAAGAAATATTGTACTTTATTGTGTTATATACAGTGACGCAAACAAAAATGGAGTGGAATTTGCATGCACATCGCACGGCTAAAGATCTCGGACGCAAATAAAAGAATTGTTTTTTTTAACAGTTTAAAAATTCATTTTCACAACTTGAAAATTGACAATTCAGATTCTCAATCTAACTATTTTCTTCAAATGCTTTAAGAAGCTCAAGTTCACCTGATTGAAAGTTCGCGAATTGCCACGGAAGTTTCCAAATGTGAACATATCCTGCAGCATCTCCAGCTGCCAGAAAATTACGTTGTCGTGGATTAAAGTCAAGTGTAAACATCGGAACTGCTACTTCAGTCTTTGTCTTTCCAGTAACGGAAGTACTTTCAAGAAGACTTGTTGTGTCTTTTCCACTTAAAACCACAACTGGTTTCACACGATTCACTTTGAAATCAAAGACGTAAATATTTCCATCTTCACTTGCTACTGCAAAGACCATTGGACGTGTACGAGACCATTGAGTAGCATAAAGATAAGCAGATGATGGTGAGACTTCAATCGATAGGATTGCGTGATATTGCAATGTCGAGTATAAATGTATAGTACCATCAGCTGATGCTGTAAGAAATATTGTTTTTTGAAATGGTGAAAAATCAGCATCATATACTGGAGCTCCATGTGGTTCAAACATAAAATCCATGGCACTTGGAAAGATCGTAACCGGATCAAGTCTTGCTTCGTATACAGTTGCTAATGTCACTTCCTTACTACGTTTAGCACATGCATACGCTTCAACATGTCGTCGTGCATTTGCAAATTTTGAAATTGGAACTTTACTAACTAATCGTGCAGCCGTAGCCGTCCATTTTCTCTCACCTTTGAATTCCGATGCTCGAATTGATGTTGTGCTTTTGGCAAAACAACGAGCTACAGCTCCACCTTCAGATCCAGTAATAAAAGCTCGACTAGCTTTATCCGAACAACTAAATGCTAAAGCTTTTCCTCCAATTATACGTTTATTCTCGTTCTTATGATACCGAGAATCCAATTTCTTTGATACATGTAGAACATATCCTTCGACAGGAAATGCCAGTTTGTCTTTTAAACGCCAAAATAGTACTTTGCCATCACCACTAATACTTGCAATCTAAAGAAAAAAAAACAAAGTAAACAATCTGTAACTTGAGTCAGTGCATGAAAAATTATTGTACATTGTAATCACCACTTTGAATGTCAAAGACCCATGCAACTTTAGTCAAAGGTTCACGATGAAAATAATCGCCAATACCAGAAGAATAGAATCGATACTCAGTAGGTTCAAGATCCCACACAAAGACTTCTCCATTAAAAGAACCTGCAGCAACAATTGAGGGATTTTCGGGGTGAAAAGCGACACACATGAGTCCGCTCTGAAAGAAATTATCTGAAATTAATTCTTGCTTTAAATTAGAAATATAAATGATCACGTACCGATGTTTCCAATACAAGCGACGGTTTGTGTACATTTATATCGGACTGGAAGACATTCCATAAACAAAGAGCCGAGCGATAGTTGCACCATCCAGAATGGTCAAATCGTCCATATGCCACTGCAATGACAGAACCTGTAGCATTCCATGACACTCCTGTGCACGACAAATTTAAAGACGTGGTGGATGTTGCACCATGTTGTGGCTGGAAATAAGTGTCATAATCAAAGCGCAACTGATAAAGTTTCGTGATGTCTTTGTCATCTGATTCATCGAGATAGAGTTCAAACCCTATATCATAAATCAGTACCTTGATCTTCTTAAGAAAAAATGAAATATGGTACCATTAAAGCAAG